ATTTCGAGCAAAGTCAAGAACGACGATAAAACAAAGACAGGCCTCGTTGTTTTCCATATTCCTCTCTCTCTATCTATCTCTGTCTTTTCCTTCGTCTCTTCTCCGAAACAAAACCGCGCTGTGATGTATCGCACATTCCAAGATCACTTCTTCTTCCCGTGTACATGCCTCATCGAGCTTTAGATGCGTCTTTTGTAGAAACTAAATCGCCACAATTATGTATTATATGTATGTTAGATTCCCGCGCCTCTGTTCTGCAACTTGCGCGCGTTACGTATTTCTCGCGCGAGCCAAATGTGTGTCTTGCACAAGACAGTCTGCGTGACGATACGTTAACGAAACAATTGCCGTTGCAATTTACAGGACGGAGCGAGCTGAATTGTATACTACGAGTCAAAACTGTATATGAAAAAACTAAAACGTCGTTGAATAACTTATCGACGATAACGAAAATAAATAGAAAAAAAAATCCATGAAATCACATAAAATGATCGCGACGATTCCACGCGTAGACAACTCTAGCCTTAGTTGGGACGTGGAACGTTTTATTATTGAGTTATATCTGTAAAATAATAAAAGTTATGTATTCTTGACATTGCGTTTGTCTTGTGTTTGTACCTGTTGTATTCGCGCCGTATCGCAAGATGGAGTCACCCCCGACCTCACCGATATCATTTATCGCGACGACTTTATATCGACGCACGTTACCGCGACGTATCTTGAATATTTTACAACGTCGTTCGAACGTTCGACGTTCCTTGAATTCCTTTCTATGTAACATTGTCAATCGATTGTCTTTAAAAAAAAATTGTATAGCGCGCACGATTCAATTTACTCGAATTTCGGAGCAAATAAAAAAGTTGCGACGTTTCAATCAATTTCGAAATTAATGTTTTTTTTATTTATCACTTAATTCGGGAGAAAAAATATCCTCTTTACGGTTGTCCGTAAACTCGTTATATTTTTTAGGCAAGCTCTTTTGGTTCTGAACTCGTTATCGCCGAATGTTACGCGCATGATTGTTCGAAATGTCACGTCTATGTACACACGCTACACACGCTGAAATATTTGTATGGTGTCAGCTAATCATACGTGGCTATGTACATCCATATATCGATTATTTCTATAGGGGGTCAGTAGTGGAGTAACGTTCCTCCACCTGTCAGTCGGACACATAGTGGCACTTCCTATTACTTCCAGACGTGATACACATTCAGTAGTTCTCGCGTATCTTAGGTGGAGCACGCACCTACACAGCTATGTTCTCGTTTGGCATACTATTTACTAACTAATTTAACTTAAAAGGTGAGCGTGATTAACTGCTGAAAGCAGTAAATTAACATTTATACACGTTTCGCGATAATTTTACATCGAAAGAGAATCCAACATTCGGTATTTAAATACAAACACAAAACTTTGTATTTTTTAATATCGCGTTTTTTTTTCAGAAAGTGTTGTGCGAAAAAGTCCTATTTTATAAATTTCATTTTGTTTAATTTTAATCGAACCTCGCGAATCAGATGTAAAACATATTCTTTCGTATTTACTTTTTTTTTTCATTACGTATTGAATATGCGTCGTTATTGTACGTGTTCTATTGTGGAATAGTTTTGTTCATTCTAGAGAAGTGCTCGACCTACATATATTATTTTCTCGAGTTTTGTAAAAAGCTGTGCTTAACACAGAGAGAGATCTTAGTAAATATGTATTATTCCAACTCTATTTTATTTTGCTAAACACAAATTACATTTTTCTATAGACATTTATATTAATCT